TTCTTAGTTTATCTTGTTCTTATTTCTGCCTTCTTAAGTGGAATGATTACTTTGCTTATTGACAATATTTTTAAATGTCAAAAGTGCATTTTAAAATATTATTTTTTTGGGCCGGCCCCGTGGCTTAGTGGTTAAGTGCGCGCGCTCTGGTGCTGGCGGCCTGGGTTCGGATCCCGGGCGCGCACCTACGCACCGCTTCTACAGCCATGCTGAGGCCACGTCCCACGTACAGCGACTAGAAGGATGTGCAGCTATGGCATACAACTATCTACTGGGGCTTTGGGGGAAAAATAAATAAATAAAATTATTTAAAAAAAAAGAAAAAATTAAAAAAATAAAATAAAATATTATTTTTTCCTCAGAACTGTTTTGGTCACATACTACAGCTTTTAATATGTAGGCTCTCATTGTTATGCTTTTATAAACTTTTTTCTGTAATTTCAGTTTTAATTCCTCCTTAACTCAAGAAGATAAATTTTATTCTATCTTTTTAATGTTAATTGTAGTTTACTGCCTTGTGGCTAGTCAATGTGAACTGCATCATTTCTTCTTTTTGAAATTTACTGTAATTTTCTGTGTGAACAAGCATATGCTTGATTTCTGTGACTGTTCCTTGGACAAGAACAGTATGTATCTTCTGTTATGGGAGACTAAGTTCTATTTAAAACCATTAGATCCAAGTTGCTGAGAGTTTAATTAAAATCTTCCACAGCCACTGCTATCCCCTCCCCCTCTGCCTTCTTCTCGTTCTTCTTCTTCTTCCTCTTCTCCTTCTTCCTCTTTTTTTTTTTTTATGTTTTTAAAGATTTATTTATTTATTTATTTATTTGTGAGCAAGATCAGCCCTGAACTAACATCCCATGGCCAATCCTCCTCTTTTTGCCGAGGAAGACCAGCCCTGGGCTAACATCCATGCCCATCTTGCTCTACTCTATATGGGACGCCGCCACAGCATGGCTTTGACAAGCAGTGCGTTGGTGCGTGCCCGGGATCCGAACCTGTGAACCCCGGGCCACCGAAGTGGAGCGGGGGCACTTAACTGCTATGCCACTGGGCCAGCCCCCGTCTTCTTCTTATCTTACCATTATTTGTCTACTCAGTGCATCAAATTCCAAGAAACATATATTAATGTTCCCTAATACAATTGTAGTTTTAAGAAAATCTCCTTATATTCGTTAAAAGTTTTTGCCTTATGTAGTTTGCTTCTATAGTGTTTGCTACATAAAGGTTTATAACAGTTAGATCTTCTTCATTTATTGTGCTTTTATTATACAAAATATCCTTTTTTTCTGTGTAGTGCCATTGGCCTTGAATTCCATTATATCTGAAATTAATATTGCCACCTTTGTTTTCTTTTTGTTTGCATTTACTTGGAATTTTTGCTCTCTTTTAAAAATTTTCCGCTTTATTATTTTTAGCAAGTCAAACAACCAAAGTATATAGAAAAAAACTTAATAGTTTCCCTCTTCTTGGCCAATCACATCCATGTTGAAGAAGCTTACATTAAAAAGTTGGTGTATGTCTTCCTTCAACATCATTCTCTAAGTTCATAAACAAGTGTAAACAGGTTGTGGTAGGCTGAATAATGTCCCCCCAAAATATCCAGGTCCTAATCTCTGGAGCTTGTAATTGTTACTTTATATGGAAAAAGAGTCATTGTACTGTGATTAAGTTAGGGATCTAGAGATGAAGAGGTTATCCTGGATTATCTGAGTGGGCCCTAAATGCAATCATAGGTATCCTTGTAAGAAGAAGACAGAGGGAGATTTGACACAGAGGGGAAAAGATGAGGTGATAATGACAGTAGAGATTAGAGTGATGTGGCCACAAGCCAAGGAATGCTGGCAGCCACCAGAAGCTGGAAAAGATAAGGAACAGATTCTCCTCTAATGACCCTGGAGAGAGTGTGGTCCTACCCACACCTTGATTTCAGCTTAGTGACATTGATTTTGGATTTCTGGCCTCCAGAAGTCTAAGAGAATAAATGTGTGTTGTTTTAAGCCACCAACTTTCTGCTGCTGTAATATGTTACAGCAGCAATTGAAAACTAATATATAAGTCAAAATTTTCCCCCTTATTTATTTTTTACGTGTGACATCGTGCTCTTCCAGTGCTCTGCAACTAGCCTTTTTCCTCTTAATAATGTATCAATTACATCTTTATAGGTCAATGTCTATAGATCCCATTCTTTTTAATAGCCAAATAACATTCCATAGTATGGATGTTTCATAATTCATTTAACCATTTCTCTATGGATGGACATTCTCTCTGTTTCCAGTTTCCTATTGCAAACAGCGTGCAGTGAACATCTCTGTGTGTGTTTTATATGTTGGGATTTTTTAAGGGGAGGGGACAATAGACTCTTATGAGGATCTATGGGTAAGCACATTTTAAATTTTCGTAGATGCTGTCAGATTACTTTCCAGGAAGGCTGTAACAATTCACACTCCCATCTGATTTGAATTTCCCTCAGTACAAGTGAAGTTGAGCATCTTTTCATATTTTCTGCCATTTTGCATTTTCTATTTTATGCAATGCATGTTTAGTTCCTTTGCTCATTTTTTCTTTGGATTATTTGCCTTAACTCTTTTTCTGTCATAGGTTTTAGAAATATTTCTCTGATCTTTCACCTAGTCTTTGATTTTATTCCCCTTCCATGTTACTAGAACAGAATTCTCCCAATTCTTGCCCACTCACATCTAAAGAAGGCTGAGAATCTAAAATATCCTCCCCTCTATTTCTAAATCAAGCAATCCCACCTGTCAGTTCCTCTAATATGGTATTTTAGAACAGATATTTCTCATTCTAAATCCACCATTGCCTGCCTGTTGGATCTCAGCGGCTTCATCTGCACAGATGCTGAAAGAATGCACGTAGTATCAATTAGTATAGGCTAGGTTGTGCTGCAGTAACAAATGAGCCCCCAAATCTCAGTGGCTTACAACAAAGGTTTATTGCTCCCTCACACCATGTGTACACTGATTGTCTCAGCTACAGCTAAGGATGCAGTCTTTATCTGGAATATTGCTGGGCATTTTGGCAAAGGGACAGAGAGTATAAAAGCTTCAGCTGTGACTGACACACACTGGTTTTGCTAACATTTCACTGGCCAAAATTAGTGACACATGGTCACGCTTGAGTTCACCAGAGCAAGGAAATTAAATTCTTTACAATGTAAGTCACTGAATATCTATGAAGAGTTATCAGTCTGTCATACACACACTGATATGTGCAGGCAATGGAAAAAAATCACAAGTCATATAGGTGCATTCAATGGCTTCAAGGAAGTAAACCAAGACAAAAAAACAAAAAAAAACCCAGGCAACTCCTGGTGTCAGGGGATCAAATGGCTTCTCCCAGAGTTGCTTTTATCCTTCTACTGAGGTACACAAGGGTCAACTTCCTGGGGCCCTTCAAGCAGCCACTGGACTGAATGTTCTTCTCTCCAGGTTCAGACAGAGGCAGGACTCCTCTGAGGCTGCTGGCTCCGGAGTCTTCTCTGGCATAGTAACATCAGTGCACAGATGTGTCCCTGTGCCTCTATCCCTATAGTGCCCTATATCATCCTCTCAAGAAAGAACCTGAAGCCTCAGATAAGATCCCTTTTAGGATCAAGCCTCCCTCTAGAAGAGAGAGGCAGTCAAGGATGTTTGTCCAGAAAACAACTCTAACTCAACATTCTGTTCTTGGTCATTTCATCTTGGCTTCTTTCTCCAAGCCAAGAATTTTTCTAAAAGCTCACCCTAATCCTCCACATCTCTGCCCTCCACCACCCTACCATGTGTTCCTGGAGGTCTCATCTCTCTTGCAGCATGATTGCCATGTTTTCTTTACCATCACTGGGGTAATCATTAGTGCCGCTCACTGATATCTGGTTCTCCTCTCCTTCTGGACACAGAGTAGGATACACATCCTAGCTCCCTTGAGGTTGGTTCTGTGACTAGTTCTGGCATGAACTGTGAGTAGAAGTGGTGTCTGTCACTTCTGGGATAGAGAATTTGCTAGTGTGTTCACTAGCAGAGTTCTCTCTTTTCCTTCTGGAAAAAGCCACTGATATTTTGGCGTTATTTTTCACTGTTGCATAGCCTAGCCTATCTTGACTGAAACCATCCCATACCTTTTTCAGGTATTTAAAATATACATGACAAATTGACAACACTTGAATTAACAGTTGATAAGTCTTTAGACACATAATGGGTACACAATGCTCCATAACTCTCAAGACAAACATAATCCCAGGACTCGTACTTCTCCACATAGATTTAAATTGGCTCAAGCACCCAGATGTCATCTAGGCAGGAAGTTCAGAATCACTCTGTTGGGCTATTCCCACTCACCCTACGTTGATTTTTCTCAATGTGGTTTACACACCTTCTGTATCACAATCACAATTTAACAAACAATATTTGTTAAGATCAGACTCCACGGTACCCCTCAAATCAGAATCTTGGGCAGTAGGTTTCAACATGCCCCCAAATCATTCTTACCACACTTCACGCATGATCTTTCTTAGTCTGAAATTACCTTGCCCTATCTTGTCTGATTCCCATATGACTTCTAGACCAGCATTATCCAATAGAACTTTCTACAATGATAGAAACGTCCTATACACGTACTGTCCTACACAGTAGCCACTAGTGACACGTGGCTATTGAGCTCTTGAAATGTGACTAGCATGACTGAGGAACTGAATTTTTAATTCAATTAATTTAATTTAAATAGCCACATGTGGCTAGAGGATACCATATTGGACAGCGCAGTTCTAGACTGTTAGTCCTTGAGAGCAAGAACTCTATCTTCAATCTCTGTATCCCCTCTGTGCCTGACACAGAGTAACCCAGTAAATAAAAACTGAAATAGGAAATAGGCCTGCACTATTTCCAGTTTTTGAGGTTCCTGGTATACCAAGAAAAGAATAAATGCCAAAACAAGATTACAAAAAGTATTTTCTGGACAAACAGAAAACGTTTTAAATGTTTACCTCACATTTACCAAGCAGCTTTATTGCCCCCTTCTCAAGATTAAAATATTAAATCTTATTCACACTAGTGTCTGATGACAATGCCTAATAGTCATGGAGTACTCAGTTAGCTTTCTACCTTTGATTTAGTAAATATAAAAGAGGTTTCTACCTTTGATTTAGTAAATATAAAAGAGGTATTAAGACAATGATGAATCCTGCTTAGGATCTTTCTATGTACCTTCTGTTAAAGTATGTATGTGTGTTTATATGTACCAGTGAATACAAATCAGATCACTAATACATGAGGTAGAAAGGAGTTTAAAGCACAGAATGTGATTTAGATTAGATAAGGAAAGCTAATTTTTAAAATTCTGGCCTAGTAGAAGAATGTACTGAGAAAGGTTGTGAGAAAATTATTTGACTGAAGAATGTGGGACTTGAAGTTTCCCACTTATGCTTAGCAACCATTACTTTACCTATCCATCTCCCTCAGAAGGAAAAAAACAAAGTTAAAAGAATAACATTCTGTAGATTTGCAATAACATTAAAATTTCTTTGAAAATAATTTATTGTTCTGGCTCTATTTAGCCAATGTAAAACCCTGGAGTCTTTATAAACAAGACATTCTTATCAGCATGAGAGGGTGAGTAAGTTTCAACTCTTGCCTGAAGTAAGAGCAAGCGACTGTGTATAAGGTAGTTGTCGTTAAACATATTTATCATTCATTCTCTAGCTTTTCCATAATTAACTTGAGGTGACTACTGCAATTATACATAGAATGTAGAAAATTATAAAGAAACATGAGCAAGAGAAAACCCAAATTTAAACAGAGGGTTAGGACCAGGGAACAAACTAGAATGAAAGATATGCAGGCCACAGGTTCCTATGCAAACACTAAAGCTGAGCTAAAATTAGACTCAGAGCTTCATGACAGCCAAAGTGAAAAGGGAAACACACCCAGTTACATAATGTACTTGTCTGTAAGGAAGACACATCTGTTACTCAAGTGTAGCCAAAGATTTCATGACAGTTGGCTCTGAAAGAAAATTCTCTCTTGGGAATTTCCACAGGGGACGTAGAATGACTGAGTGCACAACAGCTCTACGGGCATTGCACTAGCAGGCTCTGTGGAGTTGAATCCTTTAGTGGGATTCAATATTCAAAAGACAAGTCAGTGAAACACTCCTGGTAGGGGGTGAGGAAGGTTTCTGTGTGTATGAGCTCAGGACAACATGGTCAGGTATGCAGTTTTCTCATGGACCAGCTAATATTCTGTGGCTGACTAAAGGTAGATATATACTGTTTAGAATTCAGTAATCTGATTAGCAGATGGTAGGTGGCTGACAGCCTTTCATGAAGAGTGAGTCATCCCATTGAGATTCTCACCTAAAGAGGAAGATTTCTCTCTACATGGTGGTGGACAGAGGGAGCACCTGCAGATAATTCAGGATTTTCCTTAAAAAACAACTCTTCACATAAGAAATATTAATCAGAAAGATAAGAAAAATTAAGTGTTTAAGTCTGTAAAGTTCTATCTAATGGAGCAGAGGGTCTGCAAACTCACAGACAAGTGATTTTTTTTTTTTTTACAAAGTTCACATTAGTTACCCATATTTATTTTTTTTAATTTTATTTATTTATTAATTTTTACCCCAAAGCCCCAGTAGATAGTTGTACGTCATGGTTGCACATCCTTCTAGTTGCTGTATGTGGGACACGGCCTCAGCATGGCCAGAGAAGCGGTGCCTCGGTGCGCGCCCGGGATCCGAACCCGGGCCACCAGCAGCGGAGCGCGAGCACTTAACCGCTAAGCCACGGGGCCGGCCCTAGTTACCCATATTTAGAGATCAACAGATTTCAAATGTGGCAACCCCAGATGCTCATACCACCACTTGGCAACAATCTCCTGGGCTGAGGGTAGAGCACTTACCCACCCTTTAGGCATTTGAATGCCCTGTCAGAGAACGAAGAATTTGACTGAAAATTTTTCAAAGAAGAAATTATCAGTTGCTCACTCTGGCTATAGAAAAATCTGAATAATGCTCCCGTGAAATGTATGGCTTTTAGCAAAACAACTGGCCAGGAAATCTACCTGTAAGAATTACTTGCAAAACATACCCTTAAGTAAAGAAATGAATCTGGTCTTTAGTTACTGGATCTAAGCAATTAAATTTGCGGACATGGGCCAGCCCCGTGGCTTAGCGGTTAAGTGCGCTCGCTCCGCTGCTGTTGGCCGGGGGGGTTGGATCCTGGGCGTGCATCAATGCACCGCTTCTCCCGCCATGCTGAGGCCGCATCCCACATACAGCAACTAGAAGGATGTGCAGCTATGACATACAACTATCTACTGGGGCTTTGGGGGAAAAAAATAAATAAATAAAATTATAAATTTGCAGACATGTAGCCACATAATTATTTTAGTTTTAGAACAGGTGATCTTTACCCATTCTTTCTGACAAATGGTAAATCACAAAATCAAATATACTTTAAAGTTCATTATAATAAAATATCATTAGCATTAAGGAAGACAATGGACTTTTTTATCTCTAAAGGAAGGTAGCATATGCCCAAATGATCCAAAAGTGGTTTCAAATTATTTAGATATAGGTTAAAAACAAGGAGGGCCACAACTTGCCTATTTTATCCTACTTGAATCTGTCTGAACACCAATTCTACTGATCCGGACTTTCAAGGTCATGTAGAAGTCTTGGTTTTACAAGAACTAGGATTCTATATTGAACTCATGGAATTTACCCTTCTTGTCCACAGAGTCAAAGCCTAAGAAATCATGAGAAGCTGCAAACATTCTTTTAAAAACAAAGTTTACTTTTTCTAATTATAAAATAAATGTACACTATCAACAATTTAGAAAATAAAGAAGAATTCAGGTTATTTCTCCCCCCAACTTTTTATTTTGAGAAATTTCAAACCAACAGAATACAGCTATGCAGGCCAAGGGTCCTCTCAGTTACTAACGCTGAGCCACAAATTTACTCAGAGCTTCTTGGCAGTCAAAGTGAAAGGAGAAAACAGCCAGTTGTATAGTTCACATTGCCTATAAGGAGAAAACATATCCGTTACTCAAGGGTAGTCAAGTGTTTCAATGACATTTGGCTGAGACAGAAAATTCTCTTGGGTTCATTTAATAAGGACTACAAAGCCCTATCACACACAATCACCACCCTACAGTAACTGCATTGGTGAGTTCTGTAAACTAGGTGGTCCAGAATCCCTCAGTGTTATCGGAGGGTGCGCGGTATGAAGGCAGCAGCCCGGGAGTTAAGAGCATGGACTCTAGAGCCCAGCTACCTGGTTTGAATCCTGGCTCCATCACTTATTGTGTGACCTTGAGTAAATTACTTTACCTTCTATGCCTTAGTTTCCTGACTTATCAAGTATTGTGATTAATAAGATCATCTACCTTAAAGGGCTGTTCTGAGGCTTAAGTGAGTTAATACCCATAACCTACCTAAAACAGTACCTGGCACATAGTTAGCATCATCATTATTACAGTAAAAGCTAAAATAAAGGTGTGCACATGATGTAATAGTACAGAAGAAGGGCTTAAACCAACAAAGGGTCTGAGGGTAGGTTTCCTGGAAAGAAGATGCCTGTGTTGGGTCTAAATCTTGGTTTACTACTTAACTGCTGATAGTATGATCTTGACCACATTACTTGAACTTTCTATCCTCACCTGCTTAAACAGAGATATAATATCAGCTGTTGACACAATAAGCTGATGTTTGCAAAATTAAATGAGATAATATATGAGGATTAGATGAGCAAATGTAACACAACATGGTATGTATAATAAATAAATGTTTCTTCTTGGATCTGGTGGAAAAGTAAATAAACTACTCGTTTTTTTTTTTTTTTTTTTTTGTAAGGAAGATCAGCCCTGAGCTAACATCCATGCCAATGCTCCTCTTTTTGCTGAGGAAGACTGGCCCTGAGCTAACATCTATTGCCAATCCTCCTCCTTTTTTTTTTCCCTTTTTCTCCCCAAAGCCCCATAGATAGTTGTATGTCACAGCTGCACCTCCTTCTAGTTGCTGTATGTGGGACGCCGCCTCAGCATGGCTGGACAAGCGGTGTGTCGGTGTGCACCCAGGGTCGGAACCCGGGCTGCCAGTAGCGGAGCACGCACACTTAACCGCTATGCCACGGGGCCGGCCCCTAAATAAACTACTCTTGCATTCAATTTTTACATGTTGTTATTTTGTCCAATTAAACAGTGTACTTAGTTTAGAAGTAGTTGTACATAAATATTCATTCAGATCACAACACAACTACCTAGAATAAATGATAAATGAGCAGCATCGGCTTAGCACAACTCCCGTTTTTTGTTTTTTTTCCATCACCATGGAAATGCCTTGGTATAGTTATGTCCATTTTTGAGGCACATTGTGCCAACCTGTGGGAGTTTGTATCATCTATATCACTTTATATAGCCCTCATTTCACTTTATACAGAATTCTACTTTAGCATGTAGTATATTATAGCTACAGTTCATTCAATTTATACTCACTTGCTTCATTTAAAAAGAACTATGGTAACTAGTTACATACTTATGTGTTTATCTCCTTCCTCAAACTGAAAGTTTCTTGAATAACTGTATCATATCTATAGCATCTGGACAGAAGCTGGCACTTAATATACTGACTCTCAGTGTTTGGTGAAATGCTCTGACTAGGATTTGAAATGATCTGCTGTTATAAACAAATGAGTCTAATATAAAGTTGGGGGGATATTCTAGGAATTTATGTGAAAATTTATGTGAAAAATGATCCTCTCCTTTGGTAAATGAGAAAACCGAAGTCTTAAATAGTTAAGTGATTTGCCCAAGGTTATCTAGCTAGTTAATGGCCAGAACCAAGACTAGAACCTCAAACTCTCATCCACCATGCCAGAGGCCAATCCACTATACTGACTTCCCCTTCACACCCCAGTAATTTGGTGTCTATCTCTACTACCTCACTAAAGCTGCTATTGTTGGTCACCAATCACTTTTGTGTTGCTAAATCCAGTCAATGCTTTTCAGCCCTTGATATACTTGACCTATTTGTGGTCTCTGACTCTGCTGACCCCCTCCCCATCTTGCAATTCTTTCCCACCTTGGCTTCAGACGACTTACTCTCATCTAGTTTTTATCTCTCTGGTCATTCTTCCTCAGACTTCTTTGTGGGCTTCTGGTCATCTACCACTCCCTTTATTTTTTTTTCTATAATTTTTATTTATTTATTTTTCCCCCCCAAAGCCCCAGTAGATGGTTGTATGTCATAGCTGCACATCCTTCTAGTTGCTGTATGTGGCACGCGGCCTCAGCATGGCCAGAGAAGCGGTGCATCGGTGCGCGCCTAGGATGCGAACCTGGGCTGCCAGCAGCGGAGCGCGTGCACTTAACCACTAAGCCACGGGGCCAGCCCTGCCACTCCTTTTTAAAGTTAGTCCTTCCCAAGGCTCCATCCTTGTTCTCTTTATTGTTTCTTCTATATTTTCTGCCTGATTGATATCATCCATGCCTAGGACCTAAATTACCAATTATAAGTTAATGTCCTCCAAATCTATTTTAACTCAACTTTTCTCTTTATTCATAGACCTCTGTAATTTGACTGTTCATTGGGTATTTCCTTCTGAATTTGGAGGTTCCCTCCATCAAGTCAGTCACAGTCACAATGCAGTAATCTTTGAGGGAGCCTATAAATTGCACCCTTCCTTTCCAGATAAAGGAGAACGCAGCAGGAGACCAACTATCATCTTTACTACTGACTGTATTAGTTTCCTATTGCTGTTGTAACAAATTACCACAAACTCAGTAGCCTGAAACAACACAAATTTATTATCTTACAGTTCTGGAGATCAGAAATTCTAAAATCAAGGCGTTGGCAGGGCTGTGTTCTTTCTGGGGGCTCTAGGGAAGAATCCATTTCCTTGCTTTTTTCAGCTTCTAGAGGGTTCCTGCATTCCCTGGCTCCATCTTCAAAAGCTAGTAGTGCAGATTCTTCAAGTCTCTCTTTCTCTCTGACCTCTGCATCCATCATCATAGCTCTCCTTCTCTGACTCTGACCCTCCTGC